AACTGCAGTCCAACTGGTTGCAGGCTTATGGATATTGTCCAAGATCTGTCCTGTAGCTAACCCAACTCAGTAGAAGAAAGAGATAATTAATATATATATATATATACGCACATTAGATGTATACACATAGATAGGATATATAAATAATGCATAAATATATACATTTATATTTACATATGTCTATATATATTCTATTACAGCCATTGGTAAACAAGCATTTAAGTGTACTTGGCCTTGCTTTTTAAACAAGTCTAGATCAGAAGCCTAACTGTAAATGAAAATTGCAAGATCCATGCCTTGCCCCTTTGAAATGAAAGATAGCTTGAATTTTATATCATGCTGTAGCACAAAAAAGCTGGTTTCCTCTTCTTGACAATTTCTTGCTTTTCCTTTGCATGCTAGTCAAATACAAGATAAAAAGTAGCAGAAAGCTAATTTTTTGAGAAAATAGCTTTTCTGGGAGCTAGTAAACATGTATCCCAGAGACAAAATGAATTCAAAATGCCCTCCCAGAAATATTTTCTTAGTAGTTTTTTCATGAAAGATGTATCGTACCATATTCAAAAACTAAGGAAAAAAGAAACAGGCTTTCTAGGAATGTATTCACACTTGGCATAACCGATTCTATCGTAAGACATGGTTTAAGAAATTGCCAGAACAGTTTTCCAATATCTAAGTGGTTGAGTGACCAAAAAGTCAAATGACCAAAAAAAAAAAAAAAAGAGTCATGTTAAGAAAAATAACCTGATAAAAATGTTTCTAAAGGTTTAAAACTGTGAACAGAAATACATTGTTTCAATCAAAAAATATGTCTGAGAAATTTTCAAAATGCTTATTTATATATCCCTTCTTTACTTCTGAGGAAGTAAGATCTTTCTTCTCCAGTTAAATTTATGTATACTTCTGTTACCAGACAAGGTGCCTCTGACCAGTGAACAAGGCTGCCACAGTTATCCAGAATGCACCATCAGGACTTTTTCCAATGCCATTCTTTCCTCTTTTAACATTTTTTAGCTGGAGTTGTGGCATTTTTGGCATTCATCATGTCAACTTCTAACATTGACTATTGATTTTAATTGTGTCAAGATACCACCTGGTAACTTTGGTTGCCTAGAGTTCAGCTGTGTTGAAAACTAAGGGTATCAACAAAAAAGGCTTAATTTCATTTTGTCAGTCTCACAAATTTCTTCTTTCAAATCTGAACTGTTTGGGACATTACTGACAAGCACCACAGCAGTCTGGCCAACACTTTATAAGTAACAAACAGGAAATTTTATGAGTTTCATGTATTGACAAGCATGATGCTCCTGACATGCATTTCATGCTTCTGTTATTAATTTTTCGTTATAAAAAAATTATTCTAGAGTAGCTCTCAGAGCCAATATTCTGATGGTCTTCATTTTGTTGTGCAAGCACAAAAAGACAGTAAAATTCTACAAACACATTATTTAGGCAGAATGAGTTCAGTTGGAAAAGTGTATTCAATAAGTGCTTTCATTATACACTCTGACATCATTTACAGATTTCTATTTAGGATTATCTTTATATATAGAAATGGTTTTGGAGAAAGGTCTAGAGATATCAAAGCTAGAACAACAGAGGACTTGATAACCACATTAGGGAAGTGTTCTTAGAGTTTCACAAGATAAGAATAATGCTACTGTAGAAGCTAATACATATTGTCAACATATAAATGAATTATAGTGAGTAAAGAAAAAATGGAAAATGTATAAATGTAGATATTTTGATTTTTTATGCCATTTACAATCTCTTTAAAGGCTTTGAAAGAAAAAGAAAAACTTCAATAAGTAATTGGGAATCGTTTGCTCACTGGGAAATAAATTATTTACGGACTGAAACAGTAGAATAAAGCAATCACATGTAAATAAGTATTCTAAAGCTTCTGAGGAAAATAATAGGAAGAATTACAAAGAAGTGTGGTGGTGGATTTGTTATCATTCTGGGTTGTTTTGATTTGGTTGAGAAAGATGTCTCAACAGTGTTACATCACAGAACACAAAAATGCTAGCATTGGCTTATACAGTTAAAATGTTGATGGAAGAATAAAATGTTTGCTAAAACATTGGGTTTGCATTCAGCAGATTTTCTTTAATCATAAAACATACACATTTTTATCTGAAATATTCTGGTTTCTGACTGAGGCTGTGTGTCTTCTGAAATCTGTTATTTAAATTTATACCCCAAAAAAATACACCAGGGGTTATGATTGAGATTTCTTGGACAATATCAACAAGCAGAAAAAACCTCTGCAAAGGCATTCCCTTCCCTTTCAATGATTCTTTCTTCTGTTGAAGGAATTAGCACACTAATGCATCTTTTCTGAAAGGGCTAAAAAAACCTAAGGTAATATAGATAAAATAGTCTATATCTGAATCTAAATATTTCTGTATCTTTCAGGTATAACTGAGTAACTGAAACAGATGTCATTACTATTTAAATGATATCTAGAAAATATGTGCACAGTGTTTAGGACTATATATTAATATGTGTTTTTTTTTTTTTTTTTTCCATTAGGAACATTTGTTATACCCTTAAATATGTGAGTACAACTAATAGCTTGGCGTGTGCTCTTACTGCTAGTGTGCTTATGACAGGTCCAAATTATGCTGTCTGTGCTAAAATAGCCCAAATAATGGAGATTTTAATTAGGCTCGTTTTTCAGGTGCTTTTATCAGACTCTTAAAATGATGTGGAAGTTATATAGCGTAGTATTAATGAAGTAAATTTCTTTCTCAATTGAATGTGAAGTGCATTTCCTAGTAGTTTGCTTCTTTTTCTCGATAAAAGGCACTAGACCCAGCATAGAAAGTTGCATTTAAAGCATCCTTTTCTGTGATCATTGACAGTCACCACTGCACTCATCGGTTCCAAGTTGATAGATGTCTTCTATACAATTTGCTTGATGTCTTCCTGTCATGTCACTATAGAATCAAATGACATTTATTACTCTTTAAATACTGTAAGCTGAACCTGACTATCTCTATATTTGTGTATCTTTAAATGAAAATGTATTGCTTATTCAGCTAAGCTTAGATAAATGTCCCCTCCTACCATTTTCCTATTTTGTACCAAACCTGTACTTCACTGTTCAATTTATAACTAGTGCATGCATAGCACCCCATAGGTCTGAGATGAAAGGGTGGTTCCCTTTAGTAGCCTTTTTCCTTAATATTTTCCATCTGCAGTGTTTTGCATAGAACTCTCTGCAGTGACACTGTGGTCATGGACATGATGATGAGGAGGATATTGTGGTAGATTGGAGTGGACTCGTTTTCAGTTATTAAGAAAACTGTGGCAAACAGAAGGAAACAGAAGGGAGATGTTTTTCAGGTAATACTGTCAGAGAAGTAAAACATAATTTTTATTACAGAAGAATAGTTACCTGGTTTTGAATGGGGGAAACAATGAAATTGCTTTCCCTGTGTCTGTTTTTTGGAACTAAATCGTTTTGCTGTAGAAGGAAGAGAATGACCTGATGATGCTGCCAAAGTAATGAAAGGGAAGAGAAAAGATGTGAGTGAACAAAACAGACTCCCATAAATTGTCTGAACTCTAGCTCCCTAGGAAGGTCTGTTTCTTTCACTATGAGGATGTTGACAAGATATGGTGTAATGAAGGGATTTTGTAATGATGAATTAAATGTAGTGATGTGAATGTAAAACCTCATTTTCAAAATAGTAAAAGTTATAGAATTAAGAACTAGACAGTTCAGGATAGGTATCTGTAATTAGTAGACACAGTTTTTTCCAATGACTGTCCTATTTTCTCTCTGTGCCTCACTTCTTCATGTGTACAATAATGATCTGAAATTACATATTTTTTTTTTGGAGGTGTCAAGAGGAAATGCTTCTTCTTTTTTTGATACAGGCATTGCCACATTCTGAATTTTTCACTGAGCAAGCTTAACTATAATCTTCTAATTTGATCAAATTCTTTATTAATGTGTAGAGGTGCATCACATTTTTCACAGTGGTGAAGTTTGTGCTTTTTAGCAGAGATATCGTAAAGAATCAAAAGGCAGGCTTTTCTGTGAGAGAATGTTGATGAAATGAAGGTGGATGTCATGTGGTTGTATGACTGGGAATGAATCAAATTGTGGGGTTGTTGACTGAATTAGAGAGATGCTAGAGGAATCCAGGTATACCTGATGCACCACTTTTTGTGTGTGTGATATTGAATATTTATGAATTGCAACCCAGAGGAAAAGAAATAAAATATATTGCTCTTCATATCTATAGCTGCTCAGCATTGTTTTATACTGTATTCAGAATAAGTTTGAGAAACAACTGTTTTCTGACAGAGAACAAATACTATTTGTTTTATTTATTGATGATGATTATTATTATTACTTTCACATATATGTTTGTTGTACATTACTAATCCTGTTTCATGAGCATTAAGCTGAGTTGAAGAGCAATACCATCCTTTTTTTTGTGATTTTTATGAGGTGTTAACATACACAAAAATGTTAGCCCAAAGGCAATTGCAGCCAAAAACTGTGACAGCTGAAAAAGGGTTGTGTGTTTCTAGTAATATGAAAACTTTCCTCAGTTAAAGGCTAAGCTGCTAACAGATGTTTAGGACCCTCCACTTCTTCATTAATAACGTGAGCCAAACCCTAAGTAGTTAACTAGGAAAAAAATTTCCTTCTGGGCCAATTTTATCATACATTTATTATACCATATTTACATGACTTGCATTACATTGAGCCATTGTTACAATCCCAAATACTAATTAAGTTTCCCTGAATAATTGATTTTTTTTTTTTTTTTTTAGTTATGGGGAAAAAAATAAAAAGGGTTGACAACACAACTACTTCAGATGGTTTTTTTTGCCTGACAAAGTGACCTTCCATCCTACCCTAGGCAATCTTTATCAAATTGAAGTATTCCAGTCAATATGAAATTAGAGGAAATGTGAATGAAGGGCTATATTCATAAAGCTAATGGCAAAGAACTAATTTTGCCTTCCCCTTGCAGTATGTAGGTCTGAGTACAAATCACAAACCTTGGAAGAGGAAGTTCTCATTCTTTTCCTCAGGAGGTATGAATTTAATTATTTAACCCAAGTTAGTGTCCTAACTACCAACAGGTAAGTATCCTAAGGTCTCTCTTTTTGATACTGCTTTATCTTATCTGATAAATAAACTAAAGAAATTCAGTGAGTCAGTGAACTTCAGCACTAGATTGGAGTGTTACTCTCTTTCACTGACTAGGACTATTTTAGTGCTTTATAGAAATTAAAGCAGTTTCACAAAAGTCAATGTGAAAGACTCAAAGCAAAATTTTATATGGTGTTTTAGTGATTAGGAAACTTACCTGCCAGGTGGGAAACTTCTGGTGAATTCACTTTCTATTTTATTTCAGAACAGGGATTAGAATATAGAATCTCTGATTAAATTAGACTTGAATTCTTAGAGGTTTTTTCGAATGCTTAATATATAGTTCTTTATTTTTAAGATCTCAGGATTTCTTGTTTCATTTTGTGCCCTCAGGCATATTGTTAAGCTGAATTGTTCTGTTAGGTAGGTTAAAGAGGGTAATCCTCCTAAAAAGAATAATTTTAAAAAAGATTAAAAAAACATAATTTCAAGATCAGCATATACTCTGAGACCTAGGATAGTAATGATCAGTTTCTCAGGTGGTATAATACAACATAATTCCAAAGACACCATTAAAATTAAAGCCATTTCCCCCAGCAGAGAACCAAGGCTTGTATCAGTAATAAAGTACAACTATAAAAGGTCATTTCAAAGAATCATAATTCTTGGAACTCTTGCTTACATAAAAAATGGAACGATCATTCGAAGTTCTGTTTTCTTTACTATTAACTTTGTCTCTTTAAAGTAACATTTTTATAATTTCGTCTTTATCTTCTTTTCTTTTTAACAGCACCTTCAGGCTTGAAGGACTATCTATATCTGGAGGCACGTCGGTTAATTATTTGCATATCAGATTCATCCTTGTGACTTCTTGCAGGCCAGATCTGAAAAGTAACCAGGAACCTGACCTTCAATGGAGAATGGAAAAGCCCTTCAAGTGAGAGCACAACTGATCATGAGTGTAATCTGCATTGACTCATCTTCCTCAGATCTGACAGCTACAAGCTGAGTCCTGGCAAAAGCCACAGCCTTAAATTCCACTTAGAGGAAAAGAATAAAGAGGACTAAATGTCTTGCCCCGTTGCAGAAACTGCTCTCTCCAAGCCTGACACTTGTGTTCTGTGCTGAGCAACCAGAGTAACAAACAATGAGTTTTTCATGGCTCCAGCCAGCATCCAAAAATATTTCAATATGTAGCCAAAAGGAGAAATGAAGCACTTAGGTGATAGCAGAAAATTAACGCATTTACTGTAACAGAGGAATGTTACTGTCTGTGGGGATAGAAGACCTCTGTCATCCCTTGTACATATTGAAAGCCATACAGGAACAAGGCATCAGTGATGTTAAATTGCTTAAAAGGATGCTGTCTCCTGTCCTCCACCCAACTTTGAAGAATTTCAGCTGTTAGAGATTGCATATCAATGCACTTCTAGTATTTGCACTGTCACTTCCATTCAGGGTAATGATGTGTGCCACCATTTGCACAGATGGCCCCAAGAGATTTTTGACCACAACAAGCTATGTTTTGCCGGGGCTCCAAAAGGAATTAAAAAGTTAGAACTGAAGAAAAACATTTGCGCTCTCTTTCACTATGGGGATCTCTTCACAGAAAGGACTATGGTCCTTTCTTAGGTTTAAATAAATACATACATATACATACATATATATATATGTATATATATGAAAAAGCATCAACATGATAAGGTGTATTTAAAAAGGGGATATAATCTTTTTTAATAGCATCCATTTTTTATCATATTAGCAGCCAAGTTTAGTCTATTGAATTACACATCCAAAATGTTCCTATTGAACATTGACATTATAGTCCCAGTTACTGTTAAAGAAGTCATTTGTAATATGTGTTTGACATAAAAATTTTCTAACCATTTGTCTATACTTCATGGAGAAATCTAACAGACAAGCAGCATTTTCAGTTTATTTTTCTAAATAAATGTGTTTATATTATTTGCAGTCACTCATTTTGGATGATTTTCGTTATCTCCAAACATGATTTAAAGACAGATCCAAAACACAGGAATTGTTTGTTCATGTTAAGCTGTAATGATTTGCTGTCCGAAAGCTTTAATATAAATATTCTAATTTGTAAAATGATGAAGTATATTTATACAGGCAAATATGTATGGAAAACTAGAGGAGGTATTTTAATTCTTAATTTCAGAACATAGTTTATTTTAATATCCACACGAAGAAATCTAAATATATAATGGGATAGATTTTTTTATTATCAATGAGTTTTAGCAAGTGAAGACTTGCATGTTTAAGAATGAAAGGAATGGAGTCTAATACTGGTGGTTTCCCAAATTATAGAGAGACCTTTAGTCAGCTGTTTCATTTTATTCAAAAACTGGCTTAGGTTTTTTGAGTTTGTTATTTTTTGGTGTGTGTGTGTGTGTGTGTGTTAGGGCTTTTTGTGTTTCGTTTGTTTTAGCATACTGACAAGGCCATGAAGTTGATACTATTTGATCACAAACAAATTGAGATGCTACAGAATAAGAGCTTGTTCCTTGGAACAGTCTGTAGTTTACAGTTAAGAACAGTCATTGTTATCCATTTACTGCAGTGTTTTGTTACTGAGTTACTAAACATTTCAATACTAGAGCTGTTATGAATAAAAATATATTTTTTCCTTTTTTCTTAGTCCATTAGCCTGTGTGTAATTTTAAGAGAAAAGTAAAGCATGTGATTCCTGGTTTACTTAAAGCCTTCATCTTAAATCCAGTCATTATGTGTCTGATTTATAAAGCTGAATAGTTTGGTTTTTTTTTTTTTTTTTTTTTCATTGCTTTATGGAACCTATTAAATGTTCACTAACAGAAAAATGATCTTTCAACAAGAAATAATAGAAAATTCAAGCCTTTTTAAATCTGTGAGTTAACTTTGTAAAGGGCAGATATCTTAAAAATGTGTTGCTCTGCTCTAATGTACTAACTAGTGTATGCGTGTGTGTTTGTGTGTGTGTGCACGCATGCGCACCCTTACCTGCTGATGACTGAAATGCCAGCTCTGCTGAAGTAAGTGCCACAAGTCCTGTTACTGCAAAAGATGCTCATGTTATTGTATTTTCTGGAGAAAGACCTGAGCTCTGTCTTTGCTTGTGACTCTGAAGCCATAAATAGCTTTTACAGTTTGTCAGGAAATCACAAAATGAAATAATTAAGTGAATGTTAGCCTCCCTCATTTGGAAAAACTTGGAATCATCTCATGGTTTGACTCTTTTTGAAGAAATTCAGTGGTCAATTTCCATTGGTGCAATGGACAAATGAAACCTTTGTATTTGTTAAAAAATTATAGCTGTGTTTTGTTCCTACACATTTTAGCTTATGGTTGGCTTACAGTCTTTTAACTGTGATTTCATTTCTGTGTCATTAGAATAACATATTTGGACATACAACTTGCATGGGCTTTGTTTTGCTCCCTCTTTGGATAACCTGTATTTTAAAATTGAAGAGCTTACTCTTTGAGACTAATATTCAGAGTTGTTTAAAGAAGGGACACCATTATCTAAAATATAAGAAAATTTCAGAATGATAATTTGAGCACTTCCATTATTATCTAATAATAATATTTGGAAAAGCTCTTATTTTTGTGAACAGAATGCATTCATTTATATTTGAAAATAGCCCAATAAAAATCTAGTGAAATAATTTGTTACTACTTGCAAATACTTTTCTGCTATGATGAGTTCTAGATCAACAAGTGTGTGAAATTTTTATTGTATAAAAACCACCTGAAACAATATACAATTTTCTTCAGAAAAATACAGCAGACACGAAAAATAATGACCTGGTCCCAGGAGTGGTTTTACACAATGTGTGTAATGAAAAAATAATAAATGTATACCAACATGTAGTCCTAATTTAGGTGACAAATGTAGTTGAAAGAGAACACTGCATATCATGGTTCTCATCAATTACATGCTGTTGTTTATAGCTCTGCATTAACTGGGATTTCATGCTGGAAAGTAAAAACTCACATGTATCATGTCTTCTCTTATTACCAGTGACACTGGATAAATCCAGATTTCTTGATTTTTATAGATTTAAATAATTAAATCTTTAGGTAAGTATTCAGTGTTGTGATAAAAGTTGGTCTGACGTCTGCATACTATACAGAGACTCCTCTGAGATAGCACTTCAACACAGGATAATAAAACTCCTGGAATTTCAAAAATTGTTGGCAAATAACTAGCACTGAAATATTATTCGTAAAGTTTAAAATCAGAGAAGTCAATTAAATTATGTAATTAACAAAAATTTTCTGTTATTTCCATTATCTTATTTTAAACTCTTCAACAAGACCAGCAGAACTTCTTCAAATAAGGTGACATTGTGGTGACTGATGGGTTCATTTGTAGGTTTACTGTGTCTGAATGTAAGAAGTGCTTGCAGAAGTTATTCTAGAATAGTGCAGTGTTTCATTGCCTGGCATCTGAAAAGCTGTCTGAAGCAACCAATATTCTTGAAATGATGAGGAGTGCAAAACAAAAGGCTGGTAGTTCTGAATGTGTCTACAAAACATACTTTCAATACTTGAACCTTTTTACAGGCAAGGACCACCGCCATTCATGAGAAAAATAGGTATATGCTGAAGTAGCTGTTTTTGTAAAGTGGAAGCAAAAGATTGCAAAAATCTGATGATCACCATGATTTTAAAAAAGTGTCCCTTTCCTGATACAATCGCCTCTGGTGTCACATGGCATGAATATCCCAGAGGGACAGATTTTCTTCTCTGATGGGACATGCTCAGTCCATAGCAAGACTCTCCAATGATGTAAATAAAACTTGTCCACAAGATAGCCATGCCAGTTTTGGTGTGGGAGAGTATTGCCTGGGGAGGGATGAAAGGAGGGCAGTCATGGCCCTGCCCTGGGGCTTCTGCTGAAGATAAGAGGCTGTTGTTCAGGCATCTGGCAGGACCAGAGCCCAACAGGGGACAGCTGTATGGGAATGTGCCGGCCTACTCTGAGGTTGCTCATATCATCTGGCATGAGGGCCATCTGCTAACCGACAGTGAGAAGGAGTCTGGGAACATAGACCTGCTGGGTGTGTATGGCAGAAAAAAATGAGACGGGAGACCCTAGGGCAAAATTTAAAGGATCTTGGGAAAGAAACTGTAGGCTTAATATCTAAGTCCCAGGAAAACCCTGGGAACTACCGACATGTCAGCCTCACCTCTATGCCTGTGAAGATCGTAGAACAGATTCTCCTGGAAGCTATGCCAAGGTACATGGAGGACAGGGAGGTGATTTGAGTCAGCAACATGGCTTCACCAAGGGCAAGTTCTGCCTGACCAATCTAGTGGCCTACTGTGATGGAGTGACTACACCAGTGGTCAAGGGAAGAGCTACAAATGTCATCTATGTGGACTTCTGTAAGGCCTTTGATATGGTCCCCCCACAACATCCGTCTCTCTGAATTGGAGAGATACGTATTTGATGGATGGACTGTTCAGTGAATGAGAAATTGGTTGGATGGTCACATCCACAGACTAGAAGTCAATGATCCAATGTCCGAATGGAGAACAGTGCAAAGTGGTGTCTCTCAGGGGTCTTTACTGGGATCGGTACTGTTCAGGATCTTTGATAATGACATAGACAATGGAATCAAATGCACCCTCAGCAAGTATGCAGACAACATCAAGCTGAGAGATGTGGCTGTCACAACTGTGGGATGGGATGCCATCCAGAGGGACCTGGACAAACTCAAGAAGTGGACCCATGTGAACCTCATGAGGTTCAACAAGGCCAAATGCAAGGTACTGCACCTGGGTTGGGGCAACCCTTGGTGTCCAGTACAGGCTGAGGGATGAAGGCATTGAGAGCAGCCCTGCAGAGAAGGACTTGGGGGCATTGGTGGATGAAAAGCTGGACATGAGCCAGCAATGTGCACTCCCAGCCCACAAAGCCAGCCATGTCCTGGGCAGCATCAAGAGAAGTGTACCCAGCAGGTCAAGAGAGGTGGTTCTCCCCCTCTACTCTGCCCTGGTGAGACCCAACGTGGAGTACTGCATCCAGCTCTGGGGCCACCAGCATAAGAAAGACATGGACCTATACAAGCAGGGCCAGAGGAGGGCCACAAAGATGATCAGGGGGCTGGAGCACCTCCCTTATGAGGACAGGCTGACAGAGTTGGGGTTATTCAGCCTAGAGAAGAGAAGGGTCCAGGGAGAACATAGAGCAGCCTTCCAGTACTTGAAAGAGGGTCTACAGGAAAGATGGGGTGGGACTATTTATCAATGAGTATAGTGATAGGACAAGGGGTAACAGTTTTAATCTGAATAAGAGTAGATTTAGATTAGATACAAGGAAGAAATTTTTCACTGTGACGGTGGTGAAACACTGGAAGATATTACCAAGAGAGGTGGTAGATGGCCCATCCCTGAAAACATCCAAGATCAGGTTGGACAGGGCTCTGAGCAACCTGATCTAGTTGAAGATGTCCCTGCTTATTGCAGGGAAGGTTGGCCTAGATGATATTTGAAGGTCCCTTTCAACCCAAATTATTCTGTTTCTATGATTCTATGATAAATTATGGAGTTTATGTTGACTGATTTTAAGTACTATTATCTTTTTGTGGGTTTAAGAGTTACTTATTTAACAAGTGTCCACAGCAGGGGTCCAGCAGCATTGGTACAGCGTACCAGCATCTCTGCAGTTACCTTCCCTGAGTTATTGAGTGGCTGAAAGGGAACACTTTCATGTGTAACTAGAAAGGTGTGTAGGGAGAAGTTTCATCCTTAAAACAAACCAGAAGACTGTAAAGAGGGTTGACAAAATGAGATAACAAGGGAGTCCAGCTAGAGAGTGGGGAAAAGACAATAGGTGGAGTCAATCATGAAGTTTGAGATGACACACTTACCAGGGGAAAACTGTAGGAATGAGTTGGAAGGATAAGACTGAGCCTTACAGAGAAAATTATAGTGAACAGTGACACTTACATACATTGCAGCGAGTTTTCCTAGAGGGCTGCTGAGACTGTTACTGGTTTTTGTGGACAGGATAGTTGAAGATCCCCTGAGAGAATAAACAAAAGCCAGGTGGATATGGTTCAAAATACCTCAGGTGAATCTCTCTCTAGATTCAATATCCTTGCAGGGCTGCAGAAGCCAAGAAATCTCCCCACATTTTTGCTTAACTTCAGAAAGCACAATTATAAACAATGACTTCTGTAAGGAAGAATCTGGAAGGAATCACTAAGAGAGTTAAATGACAGCAGATGGCACAGAGACTATTTAAAATACTGAGTTGAAGGCAGAGAGCAAATACATTCCACTTATCAAGAAAGTCTTGAAAAAGGGCAAAAGAAAGCCTGTGTGGCTAAGCAGCAGGGTATCAAGACACTGCTGGGAGCAAAAATACATCCTTCAGATAGCTGAAGATTTTTAAATAAAATGTAAGTGCTGTAAACAACTTAAGGCTAAATATAATTAAAAAAACAAAACAAAACAAAACAAAACAAAACACAAAAAAAAACCAACATCAAGGCAAATCAAAGATACATGAGAGATTTGTTAACCAAAATAGCTGCCAGAAACGTAAGAGTTCAGAAATTCTATTTCTACAGTAGCAGCAGCAGGATGTCTGGCAGAGAGTCTGTACTGCCAAAAGACAATCAAGGAAAACAGAAGCACTTAGAAGAAGTCGTAGGAATAAAATTGTCTTAACATTTTAATTCTGGTTTTGCTGTAGAAGGGTTTTGGTATATTCTCACACATGAATTTTTGTCTATGAGGAACTCATGTGAAGTCGTACTTTGTCAATATGAAGTGGTACAAAACAAAATGAAGAAAATATCAAAACCAGGTGTCTTGTACCTAAGATTTTTAAAAGCACCCAGCGGTGAAATAGTGAAAAGGGTAACTGTGGTGTGAAGTTCATTGTTTAAAACTATTCTGATAGCTTTTGAGATGTGAAGTTACAAATATGTTTCCAATTTTAAAGTGAATTTGAGGGAGGTTGAAAGAAGAGTATAGATCATAAAGTCTGTACTGGACAAACCAGTTGAAATGATGGTAATGCTTTTTTTCTAATTGGCTAGCAGATATTGAACGGTGTCAACATACAGGAAACAGCACAGATGACTAAGAGGAAACACAGAGGAAACAGTGCAGTTGGCTAAGAGGAAAGTTCCTGTATTCATTAAAAAAATGCAAAGATATGGGAGAAAAGGGTGATTTTTATTATTGTCAGTTTTCATAGTGGAAAGAGGCCACCAGTGAAGTTTCATGGGACATGTACTGCCATCCATGCTTCTCAAAATATATGTGAACATGTGAATATGATGGTAACAGAGTCCTCTGGTTTGCTCATTCCTATGTTTTCAAAGTACAATTGTCATCTGTGACATAAAACTAACTTAATACTTCTATTGGGAATTTGTTTCCTGTTGCTCATATGCCCTGTCCCTTTCTCTGAGAAGCAAGTATTGCAGATTGGTCTTGTGTTAACAGACAGCTTAATGAAGCTTGGACTAATTTTATTTTATGGAAAATGAAATACTTGGTATTTG